AACCGGGTCTTAAAGGGCCCTCCGCCCAAATCCTTTTAGCCTTTTTGCCTACTCGAGGTCCTCTATCGAATGATGTATGAACGAACGAAATCGGAGCCGGACACCTGGGGCGGTTCCCTCGTCAGTACATAAATATAGTATTCCTGTATCGTGCTCTAGATGCAAAGAATTATCCATAGCTGAGACCAGTACTCCTTCACATCTAAGAGGAAACGTACATCGGCTGCACAATACACATTCTCAATACACAATATTCAAGGTAAGCGAATACATTCGTAAGTAAAGGCATCTTGGCTCAAAACTAATATCAAATTCGTGAATTCAATTAAAAAAGTACAGTCATCTACTCTATCTATGCGGAAAACTTGAACGATATCGGTGTCGACCAGTTGGCAATGTTCCCGTGTTAGTTTATTCGCAGCTCAAATTCAAAGGAAGTTTTTCGAAAAATAAGGTTTAAAAGTGAAATTTTACTTCCGTCAGCCTCACCAGTGGCTTTCTTCACTTTAGAAATGCATCTCGGAATACTATCACGATAACTATGACGAGGATCAAGAAAACTAAAAAAGACCATCATGTTTACGATAGTATTTACAGCCGCCACCTGTACTATTTCTACATTCACGACAACCACCACAAACAAGACGATCATCGTTCTGTTGAGAAGATTTTGGCAAATTCCCTGATGTTGGATTATGTTTGTCGTCTAAAGGAAAAGAAATAATTTTCCATAGTGATTCAACAAGCAAGTTTCATTCTGCCATTTTCAGCTATTGAAGGCGGATTAATTGATTACAGACTAGAAAACAGTGCAGCTGTAACAGTAAAAAAATGATTCTAAGAGACTTTTAGAATCTAATATACAACAAACGTCAACAGAGATGAGTCTAAACCCATTTCATCTGCAAAAGAAAGAAAAAGTACTATGTCAGACTTTTCGATTATGAAAATATGTCTCTAAGACACCGCACTGCAGAACGACAATAATACTTTCTCTCATACGAAATTTGAAAGAAAAACAATAAATTAGGCTGAATCTGGCCAGCATAGATTAAAATACCCAGAAAACAAAACTAATACGAAATCATCCTACCAGCACGGTCAAGACGCAACCTCACAAAACTCTCCTACCAAAATCCCAGAAATATACAAAAGAACAGTTCCAGGACTATTCCACAAACGGCTATCCCAACAGGACAAATAGTGATGGCTTTTCTTTCAGATTTGTAATATGAAGCTCGTTTCCTGAATTAACTTTACTTACAACTTCAAAATATGTCTGCTTCAGCAGGTTTGTTAGTATGAAGAGGAATGCTGTGTCGTCGCGTTTGGGACGTGTGTATGAAGTCCAAGGGATGGCTCTTTAAGCACGACTGTGTTCGCCTATTATGTGGACGTAAGACATCAAGTTGAATATGTGTGCCTGCCATCGAATATTTCGCAAAGTCTCGCTTGCCGCAGGTTTCCAAATTATTGTTTCAGATCGAATCATTGCTTCTCGTAGTCATCGACATTATTCTATCGAATGTACCGTTCACAACTTTTTTATTCACAACGTACGTCGTTGAGTTTTCTTTGCATTTTGGATCTGGCTGAAACTGGTCGGAGATTTTCAAAACATTTTACGTCAGCGTGTATGTGAATGTAAGTGAACAAATGTTCGATTTACCACCCTGTTCAATAGCAAGTTTTTCAGATACCAGGTCTGTATCTTAATGACTTTTATTTCTCACTGGCTAATCTAATAAAAGCTGTGATTGTGGAATCTTATAAACGCTGAAAGTGAACGGAAGTAGTTCACTAAACGAAAATACAACCGTCTACTTTTTAGTTCACGAATCCACAATTCTTTTATTAAACTTTTACACTGTACGTAGCTGAAATCTCCGCTAGATCGCTAGATGCAGAACAATTTCCAATGGCTCAATAGGAGTAACAAAGCCTGAGTCATAGATTGCAGAGCAGTAATACATTTTCGGACGCAAGACATGTAGAGTGAATCTTATTGAAGCAGGAGCATCACGAAAAACCCGATTTATGGCTCCTAGCATACGTGTGCAAGGTCATCTTGGGGATTCCTGAACTAAAAAGCGGACAGTTGGGTTTTTTGGTCTTGTGTCACCGTACATATAGGATAAGGAATAAACTTCTTCATCTGCATTCCATCGTTTTTTGTCGATTGACAATTCCTAAATTTGAATTTGTTACATTGGTGTATGTTTATTAAAGATGAACAAGCAAAAAATCTTGCAAAATTCATTAGTCATACATTCTTAGAACACGAAGTTCATTCTAGAAAAGTAGTTGCATGAAAAAATGAAGAAAACAAACAAGTTTTGTAACATTCTTCAGAAATCCGACCAGCAGTATACATCTACTGTTCTTGTAATTTCTAACTGTGATACTGATCGTTTTTCTTGTACCTTACGTAGAACTGCCAGTACTGTAAAAGGTATGAGAATTCCATTTTATTCAGGTTTTTATGCTCTTTTATGTGCGACGTTGTTCAAAAGTAAACAACGATGACGTTGTTCATCAGTAAACAAATGATCCCAGTGTAACTGAAATTCGGGAAACGTCGTTGACTTTGACATGTTTCTAAGTATTCGACATCTAATTGCGTTTCTGCTTCTTAGACGTAAACATTTGGCTTTCCATATAATTTTGCATCCTCGACGGAATGAAAGTAGTTCTGATAACAAATAATTCCAGTCATGTTATGCTCTATACGGCAGATGCTTGACACTGTAATAAAGCTTTTCTTGAGTTTAGTAGCGTTTCACATGTGAGACTAGCTAGTATGTTTTTGCAGTATCATTATCACAAATTATATTGTTTATCTCTCTTTTTGTACTTAACGAAAGTGGAAAGTGATTGTATTCAATTGAACCGGTCTAACATTTCTACTAAACCGGTACGTTCTAACAACTCCCTGTTTAGTACCATATGCTGTTAACGATTCATACCAAGAACGTGAACGTGCAAACCTTAGAATAGCTTGCCCAGCTGGATGACGATTAAAAATGTAGTCGATTCCGGCTGTCGGTGGACTAACCCATAAATATGTACTCGTATAATCAAATTGTCGCATATAATCCAAATAACTTATGATCACAGTGGAATAAATCATATGGCAATGATCACCTAATGAGCGAAGACTAAGCGGATTTATGTATGACGTCATAATCCAACGAAAAATACAATAAAATTTACGTTAGAACTCATAACAACATAATCACCTAGTAAATTACCTTTTATTACTAACGAATTGTTGCTCATTATATTCTTGAACATACATTATAAACAATAACACAGATATTCCGGATCCGTCCGGATATTCCATAACTTATTATCATGCGAACACCTTATCGCAAAATCGACTTTTTATACGCTGAACAGAGTGGGTCCAAAGTTCTTTTCTGACTACGCGCTGTTCACGCCAAAATGCGAAAAGTGATTTGAATAAAGAGATACTTTGCTGCCCGTACGTTCATTCAATCAGCTAGTCAGAAAAAAAATTTGGACCGAATCGTTATTTTCAATGTGTTCGCTCAATCTCGATCACATCAAAAGTGACTTGGAATTCCAACTGATTTCCTAGTTCATAGCATTTCATGCATATCACGATACGCTCTCCGGTTGTTGATCAGCTTTGCTATTATATCTTCAATTCCGTTTGATTCTTCTATAACATATTAAATTCCAACAATAAAGAACGTCGGTAGTGTATTAAAATTTACCACCGTTACAACACTGAAATTTCGTCATAACTACAATAGAGATTGTAGCTGAAACAACGTATATACTAACGAGAACGAACAGTTCTTGTTTTTTTCAATTCTTGCTAATTTCTTAACGTCCTTCCAAAATCTTTAGAAGTTGCTAAGTTCACTGAATAATCAGCTCGCTTTTAAATCTAGAATGTTGCACTTACCAAACCAAAGAAAGACAACAACTTCGATTTTTCTCCTTTATCTTCACCATCTAGTGGTAGAGACGTTGCATGCTGAGAAATATTAGAATTTGAACAATTAAAAAGATTTGGAGGCAAAGAGACAACTGATGTACGTAAATTAGTAGTAGCAACAACAGTACTAGGTACATCAGTTGAAACTGATGTCAGTGTTTGAACCGGTGCTAACTGTGTGTGAGTTGCATTTTGTTGCTGATTAAAAGAGCGAAGCAATGCATCAGCCTGTATTTTCTGTGTACACCAGAATCACGCTTGTATAATGAGTTTTCACTAAACAGTTAAGTTTTTAAAAATAGGCCCAGCAATTAAATTTTTTGATAAAATTTTATCCTAATTAATTTACTTTTTCAGCAATACTTATTGCTGCATGATACATTGTATGTTTTGAATTCGCAGACTACCATAATTCACGACATAAAATGTCCAGTCAAATTACCTTTTACTTCACAGGAGTGTAGAACTGATTTGCTCCAGATTGGTTTGATTTAGCACCCACAAACATCCTACCACTTTTAACGCTAATATGCCATTTAATAATGCGATTATTTCCAACATCAAGATACCTTGACTGATATACTTAGAAGTTATAAGAACCTGCTACTTTAAAACATTTTAAAGCGGAAAATATTATTTCACAAATGTTATTTGTTTTTTTCAGCATTTTTGTTTTACTCATTGTGAAGGAGAGATATGAGTGAATTGCGCTGCCATTATACCGTTCCGAAAATGAAATCAGTTATATCTCAACTTCTGCTGAATGAGTTTGAATAAACTTTTCTACATACTCAAAAATACTTATAAAGGTTCAAGCGACAACGAGTCATTTTGACAATCTGATTAAGTTCAACAGACAGCTCATTCTATTGCCTCTCTGTCTACAGATAAAACATATTTTTCAAATTTTTTAGAAGGTGCAGTAAGCAGTTTTCATTCAACATAATATTATTTTTCCTCTACCCAATTTTTCAGCTATCTATACACAGCGTTTTCAGATTATCCTGAAACTTCGTTCTACTCTCCTGTGCCGTTTACAGGAACAGGTATTATACCAAGATTTTGTTTTATTGTATCACTAGCAAAGCAAAAACCAGTGATTATAGTTAGTTATAAAGAAGAAAAGAAGTAATCGTGTTCTAGTAATAGAAGCGTCTAAATCTCGATTGCACAGTTTGCTCGACTTATTCTTGTTTCTAGGTTTGCAGTCACCGGCTCCCGTGGTACTTCTGAAGGCATTGTCGACGAGGGAAACTACGAAATTAGGGATATATGTATATATTTGGCTCTTGAAGAATGTAAAGGACCAATACCTGTACTTATCATCTTTCTCTTCCTCTGGTGTATTATTCACTGATCTCCCACTATCTTGTTCTCGATTTGTCTTATCATGATTCTGTGTATATACCTATACAGTTAGTTTTAGCTTTAGTGGGTTGGGTCGAGTGTTCTGTTCACGTCTGTGCGTGTGTCTAAAACAAAATGACCCTTGAAGGTTAACACTAATTGACTAATGTATTACGTTATTTTCCTGATTTCTGTTTTCTTTCTACAAGTACAACGCAGCGAATATAAAAAATCTTTCCCAAAAAAAACCATTATAACTAAAATTTCTCATGACATCAATCATCTTTGAAGCTCGCTCCCTTCTCAAGAGATGGATCCCATTACGATCAAATAGATGGCGCCACAGAACACCGTGATTCTCAAGGGGCAAACTACATATTCCAAGTTAATTTCTTTTCATGGTAACAACCGAGAGAGAAACATCAATTTCAACCGGAATTATCTCTGCATTTGGGATAGTTATTGAACTCAGAAATTAAGCAAAATGAACCAAATTTAAGTAAATTTAAATATAAAACTTTATTTACTTTAATACTTTGATCCAAATGAATTTCGCCGTATAAAGTGGTTTAAATTCACTTTAAACTAGTTTTTCCACAAAATTAATTCAGACCAATTTATTTTTATACATAGTTTGAAGGACTTTTTGTAAAAATTAGCTAGATTAATTTTGCGATCAGCTTCTTCACGTGCGGGAGCATAAATTCGATCGTTCTGTTTGTTATAAATTCCATCGATATCAAAATACTTCTCGTCGGAAAATAAAATTTTTTCTGTCATTGATTTTCGAATATTTTTTCGAACCCAAATTCCGAACGATCTTCTTTTTATTTTATGTTGCTCAGTAAGCTTTGGCGCCACTCGTTTAACATACGGTTTCAAACCCAGATCCTCTTTAATAATTCGACGCATGGCGATATGAGATACTTTCATTTCTTTCGCCAATATTCGTGAAGATGCTTTCTTCTTTCTTGATAAACGTTGTTTCGCCTTCTGAATTAGAGTTTTTGTGCGAATTATTCTCGGACGACCTTTTGGACTCGTTAAATCGATGGTGCCAGATCTGTTGATTGATTTTACCCAAGAATAAATTGTTGCTCTTGAAACCGTACCACGTAAATATTCATGAATTTCATTTCCATTTAGACCTTCTTTGTGCAATCGCAGTACCAGTTCTTGAGTGCCTTTACTTTTCATTGTATAACTTTTCAGAGATAACAGATATAAATCTGAAACAATAATAGTTTTGTAGAGCTTGAAATTCTCTATCTTTTGGTGTATGAAGAAACATTTTATTTGAAGAGCAAATAAGAAAAAAATGCATTAATATTTAGTCTAGTTTATTATGGCACATCCGTTAGTACTCTCAACGCAATTTTTTTCTCCTGAATTGTTCAACTATATGTTCGTAGAAACAAACAAGGGCATTTTGTCTCTTTTTCAGAAAAATAAAATCTAGCTAAATGTTTTTCACTGTAGATATATTTTTCGTTCATTTAAGATAAATGCAAACAGTAGAATTATATTGTATGTGCTCATCTACATTCGTCGAAGATAAACTAAACGTCAACAGATTTATTCTCTCAACACGTTCCGTATCTTCTCAACACCTCGGAAAGAGCTCAAATTTCCAGTATAGTTTTTGTTAACCAAATGAAGGTGGTAGGAAGACGTAGAAGTCTGAAAATATAGGTGGTTGCCCTTCTGCATCTAATGACGGTGTCCAAAACTGGAAGAAATAAAGCTGTCCAACTTTTCAAAAATGCTCGGTGATCTATATCGCTCCCAAGGTAAACTCTTATTCAATAAAATCTCTACCATAGAATTTGCCACTATCCCAAGTCTTTCCCTCATATTACTGAGAGAACCTCTTTCTAGAGAAGATTACTGCGTGGTTTATTGCGCTGTCACTGATTATATTCGTTCAACTAAACGTTTCGAAGATGAAAATTAGTTATTATTTTGGTTCTTTTTTTCTTTTCTTTTCTTTTTTTTCTCTTTCTCTTATTTGTTGTTGTTGACATTTATGTTTACCATTTATAAACAGGTTTAATGTACGATCACTCTGTGATAAGAATAATAATGGGGATCAACTTCCTCTTTTCATGTCACAAGTGGATGTTAATTCTCTATTGATAAAATAAATAAAACTTATAAAAAAAACGCTACGAACGATGAGATTAATATATGATGAGATAACTTAACAACAATATTAGTAAAGAAAATGATATGAAACAACGTTTAAACTTCCGAAAAGCATCAAAAGGAGCGCTACTCTACGGGAACCAAATGCTTTTTGTAAATTGCGTTTGCTGAAGATGCTGCCAGAACAATGGTTACGATAGAAGATACTCAGTTAGTCCGACGCCTTCGTTTGAACTTTCAAGGTAATTTCAATCGACAATCCAACAGGTACAGATTAAAATAAATTCATTTTGCATTACTTAAGAGTACATAGCCAAACTTTATTGCCAAAACGCTGATAATATTCCAAAGCAAGGCGATTAGTGGCATTTAGAACAATGGACTATCGAGATGTCTTCGTTCAACTTCTCGAATGCGTAGAAGCACGTAGCTAATATTATCATGTTTTCAAATAATGAAGATGTTGAAAGTGATGAAAATGTTAACGGGGAAGGTCAAGATTTTGCTGCGATAGATAAGAGTAAATTTGGATTTTTATCTTGAATACTTTTACTTATTTTTCCTAACGTTTGTATCACGGCGATGACAGGGGTGTTGCCTTCGGTAATGCTTTAGACTTGTAGTTAGCCAGTAAGTAAACTAGATAATTTTGTTTACTGAAATCGTTATAATCTCTTTATTTGATTTAGGACACAATGTGGTAATAACAAACCATATTTCAGGCAATAACAATGGTAATACCAAGACACGATTTTATTTCTCAAATTCATCAATCTCCGTACATCTATTAACTAAAAAAAAATAAAAGAGCTTGACGTTACGAAGAGTTGTTGTTACTATCCATTTCAAAAAAGAAGAAGCACGGCCATTTCTTTGATAACTTTTTCTAAGAAGCAGCTAAAAAGGTGCGGTTTTCAGTATCGGAAAGCGAAATGTTGGGGTAATATGAAAAACTAAAAA